GGATAAGGATAAGGATAAGGATAAGGATAAGGATAAGGATAAGGATAGGGATAAGGAGAAGGGTAAGGATAAGCATAAGGATAAGGATAAGGATAATAATAAGGATATGAATGATAAGGATAAGAATGAGAATAAGATGAAGGATAAGCATAAGCATTAGGATAAATGTAAGATAAACAAAGTTAAAGATAAAATAAACAAAAGGATAAAGAGGGAGTCAAAGGTAAAGATAGAGAGCGGGATAGAGATAAAGATGTAGAGGGAAAGTTAAGAAAAATGGATATTAATATATGGGCATTTCCAATCTGGCGTTACGTTACATTTGTATGCTAAAAAGTCAAACTTTTAAAAAGGTTTTTCTACATATATTTAAATAATAATTAACGATCTTTATTCAGTTAAAAAACTACAACTATTGCTAGCAGAGACTCAAAGATATTAGTAAACGTATACGCTGGCGTGACGTTACAAAAATCAGATGTGGATTTTGACTTGGGTTACAAAATTGCAAAACTCTGCGAATAAGACAAGACTATTTGTATAAAATATTTTGTGGTAATATTTTAAATATTCAAGGTTAATTTTACAAGTTTTTAAATGAAGAAATATTTTATGCTTTTTTTTAATCAGCTAAACACTGTGACGGTTATTAAAAGTTCCATTGAAAAACTTTTGCTGATATTTTTTTTAACGAATTTTAAACGCGAAGGAAACATGCATTTTATGTCGAATATTTTTTTTTGTTTTGACATCAGCGCCACCAGCGGTTCCATTTTTTGCATATTTATCTGTTACTACGTTTTAACTAAACATGCCATAAACAAATCAGAGCATAAATACGACCTTCTCGACCCTGGCACCACTTAGCTAAATCATTTTTCGCAAATAAGAAGCCAAATTGCCCCGAAAGGAAATTAGATAAATTATTTTTAATTTTTTTACGCGGTAGACTTTCGGCTGGGAACACCCATATGTTTTGTCATATTATGCTGCTCATCTCACCTCACTTCACATCAACTCAACTCATCTCAACTAACTCACCTCACTCCAACTCACCCCAAATCGCATCAATTCACCTCATCTTAAGTCAATGAAACAAATCACAAATACAATTTATTTCTTGCTTTGTTAAAATAAGAAATCACATAGAACAAAAATCCTTACATTACACAACACTTTACTATAGACATATGTATATGAAACCTAATTTTGACATCTTAAATAAATGATTTGACACTTTCTCTCTCTCTAAGACTGTAAAGCAGCTCGCACGTGTTTTTAATTTCTATCAGGTTATGGGCACCTCGCTTTTAAAAGTTAAAAATTAATCAAAGTAATTTTATTAGTTTTGCATTTTTGGCCATAATCAATTCTTTTTACAAGCATTCGTTGCGAAGCGCATTTGTTGCGTCAACTCAAAAAGAAATTGCACAATGGCGAGATCACAACAAGAATTCATCTTAGAGAAGCTAAATGGAGCAGATAACTATCAGGACTGGGCTTTTGCCATGGAAAATCTGTTGGAATCGAAGGGTCTTGCGAACTGTTTCAAGGCAGCGAAGAATGATGCTACTGTGGCCGTAGAAACAAATGAAAACAAGCTGAGCGCCGCGAAAGCAACGATAGTGCTGTCCGTTGAAAAAGTCCGCATTAGAAATGTGGACGAAATTGAAGCAGTTGTTTGAAGATCGAGGATTTCTGCGAACCGTAAGCCTGCTGATTAAATTTGTGACGGTCCGATTGGAAAATTGTGATTCAATGCAATCGTATATTGAATCTATAACATCTTTGTACTACAAATTAAATTCTGTTGGTTGGGAAGTTGATGATCGGTGGCTCGCAGGCATATACTGTCTTGGCCTACCTGAACAGTTTATGCCACTGTTAATGGTTTTCGAAGACCGACAATCAAAGCCATCCTCAGATGAAGTTAAAGCAAAGCTGCTAGATTTAGAATTTAAACCTTCGCAGCAATCGGATAGCCCATTCTTATCTAAAAATAAACACAAACCATCAAGAAAACAGGTAAATCGTAACATCAAGTGTTATTCGTGTGGGGGTAAAAATCATAAGGCAATTGACTGCCCAGTTAAGTCGAAAGAAAAGTCGACCCACTCAGCAAAACGATCTTTTTCGGCGAACCTTGCCACGAAAAATCAAGTAAGGGAATGGTTTGTAGATAGCGGAGCATCCAGTCATATGACCCCCAACATTAACCTTTTAAGTAATTGCAAACCTTCTGCAATAGTTGAAATAATTACTGCTAACGATGCGAAAATGGCAGTAAAGTGCGTAGGTGATACGAAATTAAAGCTTAAATCAGATGAAGTACAAGTAAACAATGTACTTCATATACCCGATTTATCTGCAAATTTATTATCTGTTTACCGAATGGTAGAAGCAGGCAACAAAGTCGTATTTGACATGAATGGGTGCACAATTTATGATAGACAAGGGGTTCCGTATGCACATTGTAAGCCAAAAGATAGGGTATACAAATTCGTATCCGGATCATCGTTATTAGCCAAAAGTATAGAAAATTCAATAACAACCTGGCATCGTAGGTTAGGTCACATAAATTGTCAAAGCTTGATACAAATGAAAAATGGAATCGTATCGGGCATGCACTTTGACGACAAAACTAGTCTCGTAAATTGTGAAGTATGCGCTAAAGGAAAACAAACGAGAAAATCATTTAAGATGAGCAGCTCTGAAACGAAAAGCATGTTGGAAATTGTTCACTCAGATATGGTTGGGCCAATGGAAACGACCTCCATCGGTGGAGCGAAATACTTTATCACCTTCATCGATGTTTATAGTAGAAAAGTTTTCTTGTATTTTTTGAAGCAAAAATCAGAAGCTATAGATGCATTCGTAGATTTTAAAGCGTACGTTGAAAACCAAGCTGAACGGAAAATAAAAATACTACGCACAGATGGCGGAACTGAACACCGTTCCAAGCAATTTATTCGGCTTTTCAAGATGAATGGTATTTAGCATCAGGTGACGAATGCTTACACACCTCAACAGAATGGTGTCGCCGAGCGCATGAATCGCACCATTGTTGAAAGAGCTAGGTGCATGATCATCGATGCAGAATTAGACAATTCATTCTGGGCTGAAGCGTGTGCAATGGCCGCTTACATTATCAATCGATCGGTTTGCTCGGCATTAGTGAACAAGACGCCTGAAGAAGTTTGGTCAGGCGTAAAAGTAGACATTTCCAGTATACGAATTTTTGGATCACCCGTTATGGTACATGTACCAAAGCAACGTCGCTCAAAATGGAATGCAAAGTCACAAAAATTGATATTTGTCGGTTTCGATAGCGATAAAAAAGGTTTTCGCTGCATTGACCCGAAAACTAAGAACCTGACTATTAGCCGTGATGTAATTTTTCATGAGCGCCTGCCAACTTCGAAAATAGAAGTATCCATAGATACTGCGATTGTCGATTCAAATCAAGTGAGGAGATTGAGCACGAGTGAATGTGATGTAAACCAACAACCCGATAGTAAGTTGGATCGAGACAGTATTTCAATTGGTTCAGATGCAGTGAGGGATAATAAGCTCAATATTTCAAATGACCTATATATTGCTGAGCCGTCCGACAACGATGGTGCACAACGTGGAGCGGCTATTACAAAGAGTAACGATAAGAATTGGAGTCCGGGCTACGAGCCAAAAGCTGAAACTTCAATTCAGCCAACCAGAAAGTCGTCTCGTGAGCCGAAGAAGAAAGTCTTTGAAGGGTATGTTTCACATGTTGCCTATACAAACAAACTTCCTTCTGATCCACTAACAGTTAAAGAGGCATTAAACACTAAAGAGCACATTGACTGGAAACGAGCTATGGAGGAGGAAATTCAGTTGCACAAAGAAAACAATACGTGGACGTTAGTCGAGCTGCCTCGAGATCGCAAACCCATAAAAGGTAAATGGGTATTTAAAACCAAACGTGACGATCAGGGAAATGTTTTGCGTTACAAGGCCCAATTTGTGACCAAGGGCTGTGCCCAAATATATGGTTTAGACTATATTGAAACTTTTTCACCTGTCGTTCGCTACGCGACCATTCGTTTGTTAATTGCACTAGCAATAAAAAAGGGGTTAAAAGTCGA